AGGGAGGACCAGAGATCTCTTTGAGAAAATTGCAGATATGAAGGGAACATTTCATGCAAAGATGGGCATGATAAAGGACCAAAATGGCAAGGACCTAACAGAGGCAGAAGAGATTAAGAAGAGGTGGCAAGATTACTCAGAAGAACTATACAAGAAAGAGCTTAATGTCCCTGATAACCATGATGGGGTGGTCACTGACCTCGAGCCAGACATCCTGGAATGTGAAGTCAAATGGGCCTTAGGAAGTCTGAGCAACAGCAAAGCTAGTGGAGACGACAGTATTCCAGCTGAGCTATTCAAAATCCTAAAAGATGATGCAGTAAAAGTGCTACACTCAATATGCCAGCAAATTTGGAAAGGTCAACAGTGGCCACAGGATTGGAAAAGGTCAGTTTACATTCCGATCCCAAAGAAGGGCAATGCCAAAGAATGTTCAAACTACCGCACCATTGCACTCATTTCACATGCTAGCAAAGTTATGCTCAAAATCCTACAAGCTAGACTCCAGCAGTATGTGGACTGAGAACCACCAGAAGTACAGGCGGGATTTCGAAGAGGGAGAAGAACTAGAGATCAAATTGCCAGCATACACTGGATCATGGAGAAAGCTAGGGAGTTCCAGAAAAACATCTACTTCTGCTTCATTGACTACGCTAAAGAGAAAGGAGTTTGGCAAGGCTGTATACTGTCGCCCTGCCTATTTAACTTATATGCAGAGCACATCATGAGAAAGGCGGGGCTAGATGAATTACCAGTTGGAATTAAGATTGCTGGGAGAAATATCAACCTCAGATATGCAGATGATACCACTCTAATGGCAGAAAGTGAAGAGGAACTAAAGAGCCTCTTGATGCTGGTGAAGGAGGAGAGTGCAAAAGTTGGCTTGAAACTCAACATTAAGAAAACTAAGGTCATGGCATCCAGCCCTCTCACTTCCTGGCAAATAGATGGGGAAGAAATGGAGGTAGTGGCAGATTTCATTTTCCTGGGCTCCAAGATCACTACAGAAGGAGACTGCAGCCAAGAAATTAAAAGTCGCTTGCTCCCGGGGAGAAAAGCTATGGCAAATCTAGACAGCATACTAAAAAGCAGAGACATCACCCTGCCAACAAAAGTACATATAGTCAAGGCTATGGTTTTCCCAGTTGCAATGTATGGCTGTGAAAGTTGGACCATAAGGAAGGCTGAGTGTAAAAGGATTGAGGCCTTTGAATAAAATCCTCCACGGCTTGGGACCTAGTTATCTAAAGGAGTGCTTGCGCCCATATATGCCCTCCCGCCCTCTGAGATCGGCAGAGGAGGCCCTTCTCCGGGAGCCCTCCGTGAAGGATATTAGGAGGGTGAGTACCCGGAGGAGGGCCTTCTCTGCGTTGGCACCCCACCTATGGAATGCGCTCCCTAGAGAGGTCCGTCTGGTGCCGTTGTTACTTGTTTTTCGGTGCCAGGCCAAGACCTTTTTATTTAAATGATATTTTAACTGTTAATTGCTGTTTCTATTTACTGGTTTTATAGTGTTGCCGAAATGCTCCAGATTTTTAATGTCTATTCTATATTTCTTTATTTGTTTTGTAAGCTGCTCCGAGGCTTTCTGTGACGGGGGCGGCATAAAAATGCTATAAAATAAATAAATAAATAAAATATTCAGAGTAGACATGGTAAACCAATGTGGGAATAGGCACTAAACAGTTCCTTGTGTGTATCCTTTTGAGCCACTTTCTCCACCAAAATGTCCAGAGAAGTCATCCCATGAAGATACATTGTGTGTATACCTACACGTGCATAGAATTTCAAATCGATCAGTTGATATGATCACATGTTTCTGGGATGCTGTTATTTCCAACTTCCAATTCTAATCTATTCTAATGGATGTAGTTTGTTCAATCCTATCATGCTCAGCTGGTTCTGCTATATCTATAATCAATGTTTTGTCACATTTGGATAAGGGCAGTTAGCTAATGATGAAAAACAGATTGGGCTTAGAATGGAAAATATGGCTAAAAGCAACCAATAGACTCCATGAATTTACTTGACTGTTTCCTTGACTTCCCTCCAGGCAGCAATGCTTTTTTGACCATATAAGGTGTTTTATATTTTGTTGTTCCTTTTCAGAACATGGTAAGAGCCAAGTCAGATTAAAATGCTTCCCCCCTCCCCAAACATATCTACTGTGGAGCTCTTTTTCCCCTCTGCAAGTAGAAACTGGCCTAGAGGTAGGCTGTTCAGATACTTTCCATATGGATACATTCAGTCTGGTTTTTCACAAAAGAAAGAGGCAGTATGTGGTCAGTGTATGCTATAAGTTACATACAATTAGGCATTACTAACATGTTATCTCTGGTTTGTGTTATTCTTGTGCAACCTTGTCTTCAGGATTATGCTAAATGGGATGCCATCCTTAGTCCTTCTTGAGGTATTTTTCCTCACCCTTACTATAGAGTTTTCTCCCCACACCAGCCAAAAGAGAGGGAGGGAGGGAGGGAGGGAGGGGGAGAGAGAGAGAGAGAGAGAGAATTTTTGTACCTTGGGCAGTGTGCAATGGTGTCAGTCCACAAACTGTAGTAGTGCTAGTGGAGCCCCACCAAACCATTGATTGTACAAGCACTTGTATATTATGCTTGTGCAACCAGGAGTGCAAGAAGTCATGCAAGCAAAACTTGCACTCTGTTCCCCACTTGTCCAGCTTCCACTAATACAACACAATTTGCACAAGAATACTGGCAACACTAACTTCAGCCCACTAGCTTTTCCTCGAGTATGCTTATTCCTTTCTCTTATGTTAGTGTTCTGGATACATGAGTACGGTCATTCCGGCTATGCTAATTGTATAAATGAAGCATAAATATGTGCTGTGTAACAAAGTTGAAAATAAGTGACAAATGGTTAAATGGCTTAGTTTTAAATCACATAAATATAAAGAATTTTGATCCTGCTAAATAACTGATTTGTTGATATCTGTAACTCTTTTACTAGGTGCTGAATGATATAGTCAAACCAACTTGACACAAATTATTAACACTTTTAAATAGTGCCATTTACGAATTATAGTCTGGTTTCCAGACAGTGAAAGCCTGCCTAATCAAGTTAATGATTATTCACTGAATTGAAGCTGCTGCAGCAAGACCTTCTGGCCATTAAAAGGGAAATTAATCTTTTATTTAACATATAAATAATCTGCAGTTGGAAGTCTCATGTGCTATTGGTCAACTGAGATGGAAAGCATGCCCTGCAATCATGTTGCTTTTTCAGGTCATTTTTTATTAATCTATTCAGAGTTCATGAAGGTGAAACATTCATCTGGACAGAAATTCACCTCACTATTAACTTGATCATTTAACTATAATCATGTCCTTTTGGTGACCAGAAGCCAAGATCATTGAAGTTATCTAAATTTCACCTGAAAGTTTGTTCACACCTATTTTAGATTTAAGGGATTCAGTTGATCTAAAGGTTGACAGTTCGAATCTGCAGACGGGGTGAACTCCCGTACTCTGTCCCAACACCTGCCAACCTTGCAGTTTGAAAGCATGCAAATGCAAATAGATAAATAGATACCACTTCAGTGGGCAGGTAACAGCATTCCAAGCACCACAGTGTTTAATCATGCCGGCCACATGGCCACAGAAACTGTCTGCGGACAAATGCTGGCTCCCTCGGCTAGGAAATGGAGATAAGCACCGCCCCCAAGAGTCAGACATGACTGGACTTTAATGTCATGGGGAAACCTTTATCTTTACCTTTATTTTAGATTTGCAATCCTGCAGATGTAGTTTTGCTGAAGAATTGGTGCAAAATAAATTTTCTTGTACATTTTCCAGATGTACACAATTATGCACATTCCTGAATGTATGAACACTTCTCTCATTGATTAAAACATGCTTTAAAATGAATATTTTCCAGATGTATGCATTGCTCATGCACATTTTTAAAAATTGGTGCATTTGTCAAATATTTGCTGCTGCTGCTGTATTGTAGGTGTGGTTTTATTGCAGATTGTATTTGAATCCACATTTGGCTTGGAGGTGAATGAAATGGCTGAATTCGGCTTTAAATGGCCCCTGATGAATTTCTCGTATATCTCCACTAGGAAGTGTTTGCTTGATCTTCCTTGCTCAAGTGCTGCTTCTCTCTGTTGTTAGGAAATTGCAGTGCTTTTTTTGTCATAGAACACACCGAAAAGGAGTTCTGGCACCTTTTTTCGACAGATTTTCCAAGTTTTAAAAGTAACTTTTGAAAATTTGATGTTTGGTCCATGTGGATTTGAATCGCCCTGTTGAGCGTAGCAGGTTGGCAGCAAAATCATTAAACCGGTGCATGCGGGCTGCTTGTGTGTCGAATCCGATGCATGCGTACTTTGTCCGCACTGCTTGTGATGGCGCTGCTTGGCTTGTGGCGCTGCTTGACTTGTGATTGGTCATGTGGTCGCACGCTGAGCGCTTACTACAGGCGGTGACTGTTATGTTTCATTACACAACTAACGTGTGTGGGTGTGTGTACAGTGATTGACTACGTGCGAAAGGTAAATACTTTCATGAATTCCAGCACCTGTTTTCTTACAAAAAAAGCACTGGGAAATTGACAAGACAAGCAAGCCGTGCAGGGCAATTTCCTTTGTTTACCGTTATGTTCCCAAATATATGCGTTACGTTATAAGTGGAAGCTCATGTCGTTGCTGTTTGTTTTCTGCCTTGTTCATGTGAAATATCAGTGCTGTTCCTATGTTCAGCGATCATATGTTGGCCTAAGCAGGATTGTACCCACCCTCTGCACTGCTGCCTGCCATATGCTCAACCAAAGATGTGCATGGAGTCTGTGAGCATGCGGGCATAGGTGTCCTGGCTCTATGTACATTCAGTTGGATTAATGGATGTTGATGGTGGATGTGACTTTTTTTCCTCCCTTCAGACATTCTTTGAATACCTTATTTTCATGCAAAGGTAGTTTAACTATGAGCCTACCCTTGTTTGTAGCAATAGACTACCTATGCGGTTCTTTCCTTTCAGGTGAGTGGAGTATCCAAAGGGATGGCTCAAACAAGAGAGCAACGTGTCCTGATCATGGTAGTTGTGATGGTCATTTGCTTTCTGCTTTGCTGGCTACCTTATGGGGTTGTGGCCCTGATTGCAACTTTTGGGAAACCCGGCCTAGTCACCCCCTCTGCTAGTATCATCCCTTCCATCCTTGCGAAGAGCAGTACAGTCTACAATCCAATCATCTACATCTTTTTGAACAAACAGGTAAATTAAAACTTGCTGTGGTGTAAGAAGTGCATTGAATGTAGCCTACTTTTCAATAAACTATCTGTAACTCCAAATTCAAATTCTGTGTCAGTTCTGTGCAAAAAAATGGTATAACAGAAGCACCGATATTATCCATTATCCTGTTCCTGTTCCAAATCGGAGCACCTACATGTCCCGAGACAGTCTGGCAAAATAGATCAGTATATATTAACCACCTCACTGATGTTTAACCCCAGAAGTATTTTTAACATACATCTGTCTAGTTTTAAGGGCACAGAATATAAACTTTACCACAGGCAGGGTGACATGCATATCACTGTCAGCCCAAAGGTATGGCAGATGGAAATTAGGAGAACAGTGAAGGAACCTATTCAATAAAGGTAATGCAAAGCTTGCTCTTCAGAAGAATGTAAGTGGCAGTCATACCTCTGCCGCAAGGGGAAAGTTCATGGGAATGAATAATACTCTCTAGATTAAAATTAAAATGTGGTATATGCATGCCTTGGGTCCATTGCTTTCAATGGATTTTGAATTCAGTTAATTTCATTTGGATCCGACCTTCATGTGAAAGCTTTCAAGGTATATACTGGGTTTATCCTACTCCTTTTATTAGTTAATTTTAACATGATAAGGAAGCAGACAGGAAAATGATAATCAGTTTCTCTCATGTTCTGGAACCCTTATGGATTTCTAGACTTTTCTACCTCACCTGAAAACCTGATAGTGCTAAGGATATATCTACAAGTTTCACCTGGTGAAAAAGCTATAACTCAGAAAATAACTCACATCTTCATCACCTCAAGACTATAGGAGTCACTTTCTGATTGTTTAGAAACTTGAGTTTTGCTTTTTCACCTTCCTGCATCATTGTAGATTTCACTAAAGACCTAATCTTTGCACTGGCTTCCAATTTTCTTCTGGATACACTTTAAAGAAATGACACTCAGCTATAAAATCCTACATGGCTTGTGTCCTATGTGATTAGAGAGTTCACCCACCCTGATGTTTCAGCTCAATTTTTCAGATAAGCAGAAATGTATTCTTGATTACAGTAACAGTCTGCCAAATTTTAGAAAAGAAAAAAGAAACTTGAAAGCACAGAAAAATGGCTACATCACAACTCTAGGCCTTCTTTTGCTAACGTTTCAGCAGTACTCATGTATCTAGAGATAGTGGTGCTGAACTCCACTTTCTCCATTCAACTCCACACAATTCAATAGGAGCTATTAGCTGTGATGAACTGGTTCAGCTGATTTTAATGCCACTTAAGTACAATAAACCATCTTTGGGTAGGGGTCTAGGGCTTATTTGGGATTAATTTTTCAGTTTCTTTGTATTACAAACAGCCTCACTGTTCTGCCCTTGTTTTTTTCTCAACAACCACTAGAGAGGCACACACTGTCTTTTCCTTGCCAACAGAACATTAGTTGTGCTAATTCTGAGAACCCATGATTTCTGCAGTACTACCTTTCGCATTTCCCTACCCTTATTCAAAGTGCAAAATATGCAGGCTCCCAGCCAGTTCAAATGTACTGTAGAATATAAACATATGGCATCTGTTGTGAGTTTCCTATTTTGTCTGATGTGTAAATCATAGTGAAAAATGATGTGACTGACAATGTGATTGCAAGCCATTATATTTAGACAGGTATGATACAGACATCCACATCAGAGTTTATCAGTCCTTCTGGGCAACATGGATAGAGCTACTTTGCCAGCTTTTGTGGGCGGGACATTTCTCCTTGGCAATGATAAACAAAGGAAATAAATAGGTAAAAATACTTCAGAGCAGTATTAAAGATAGGTGTGTGTCTTATCAATACAGCCTGAAGAAAGGGACATTAAAATATGGCCCTTGTATACAATTTGGATTCTTGTGATTTAGATGTTTCAGTGATTTTGGATAAACGAAAGACTCAGCAGGCCATTCCTTTATCTGCTATTCTTGATTCTGAATCCTGCTGACAGTCTATATGTACTAAAATGTCTGTGCTAAGACATTTTATTGCCTTCGGCAAAGCGTAAGATGGGGCCCTCAAGGCTGCATACTGATGTCTGCCACACTGGCAGTTGAATGAGTCAACTTGAGTCTTACTTCAGCTTCAGCAGTGGGGCATCCTTCAGCATACTGTGGGCCAGCAGGATAGTCCACACTTCACCATCACTGGAGGGCAAGCACCCTGCTACATCTGTTACCTGAGGAGGCTGCCTCATTCTGCCTAATGTTAGGGTCAGCCTTGCACACAGATGCCCATATTTTCTCCCAGGTGCCTACTTTGAACCAAGTGCTTTTTTGCCACAGCAATGGAAAGTTATAGGAATCTTGGTAATTGCTTTTGTAAGTTTGTGTTGTACCAGTTCAGGGAGTAGACCCTATTCAAATTCAACCTTATGGAAAGTTTTGGGAACAAAGATAAGATAGAAAAGTCATGTTTTCTTCTTGTATGACTGAATACACTCTCATTCAGAAGCTGTATATACAGTAATATGGTTAAAGTCTAATATAGCAGAAGTAATATATTTTAATGCTGTCAGTTCTCTCTGTAACTCTGGGCTTAAATTTCAACACAATCTGCAGAGTTTTCAAGAAATCTCCTTGGCTGTTAATGCTGTTAGCTGCTTAGCAGCATAGAAAAAGAGAAAAGAAACTCAAAAGAGTTTGAGAGAAAAATAAAGTTGAGTTAGCATCACCATTATTAAAATGGGAATGGGAGAACAAAGTTCATATCCTGGATAAGATGATAGGAAGAAAGTACTTCTTCACACAGCATATATTTACACTATGGAATTCACTGCCCCAGGAAGTGGGGATGGTAACCAAACTGGATGGCTTCAGAAAGGGATTGGATTCCTGAGGAAGGAGGCTTTCTACTAGCCTTGCTGGCTATGTGCTTCCTCCTTTCCCAGAGGCGGCATGCCTGCATGGACCAGATGCTGAGGAGCTTGGAGAAGAGGAGGTCTTGGTTGCTACCATGCATATGGAGCACTGGGCAAGATGGATCTTTAGTCTGATCTGGCATGGCTTTTCTTATGTTCTTAAAATGCTATAGAGTCCATCGCCTTGAGTGGTTTTATCAAAAATGCTTGCAAATAAGACCAGTATTTTCAATATATAGTTGTTTATTACACTTACATCTTGCTCTGTACAGTGGTCCCCCAAATGATTGATTTAACAGACTCATAACCTTTAAGCTTTAGCAAATCTACAACATCAGGCACTCCTAATTCATTCTCTGGGCCTCCAGATATAATTTGTCTAATGCAATGTGGAGAACATACAGGACAAAACAAATGTGGTGTCATGGGCATGTAAATCAGTGTAGCACATTGGCTAAGAGTTTGAAACATGAACCAGGAAATTTCTAGTTCAGAATAAATCTTGGCCTTGAACTATCTGGTGCCTTTAAGCTACTGTTCTCTTGGTCATCCTATCAATGGAAGATAGGAAGAACAACAACCTTATGATTCCTGTTAGATGGGTTGCTGGCTCATGGTCTAAGGCTCATGAGCATTTATTTCAAATGTTATACTCACAACTGAGTACAAAACTGAGTCTTAGCCCTGGACTCAGCTGAATCTCCCTCCTCTGTTGCTGAATGTGACTCAGCTGAATCACATGAGATAACACAAGACAACTGGTTTTATTTTGACCAGCAAGGTTTGAAATGTGACCAGCAAAACCTTCACAGACTTCTTTTTCATGTTGAGAAATGCAGCAGTACCTTTCAAACCCTCATGAAATAGCAATGGTAACTTGGGTTTAAGCAAACATGTCACACAATGAGTGCGGCATGTCTGTGAATTGTCCAATTCACAAAATGATAAATTAACTATGCTAAATATATCCATTGAGCCCAGACTTTCAATCTTGTGTAAGATTATGACTCTTTACTGTTATACTAGATCAATCAGCATTATCCAAAACCCTGTAATTAAATGGTACATGATGCCAATATTTCTAAGTAATCACTTTATAAAGATAATTATGTAAATGATGACTCTTTAACCTCTAGGACATTTTGTAATTTGTAGTATGAGTTTTTTTAAACAGTCCTTAGATTGCAGTAATCACTTAATTACAGAATTAGTTGCATTTATTTACTGGGAGAATTTGAAAAGGGGGATTTTCTCTTCCCCAGAATTTGCATTCCAGTTGTCAGATGAAACACTGGAAAACAACATCTTCATGTTAACTAGCATCTGATGAGATTTTTCAGTGAGAACAAGTTTGTTTCATTTTTTTTCAAATAAAGGGACTGACTGGCAAGCTGACAGTTTCATGGGAGCTAAAAGAACCCCTTAAACGGTTTGCAAAATTGTTAGCTATTAGATCTAGCATGTCATTTAGACTAATTATCACTTGTGAATTGCACATGATCCAGCAAAGGTTAAGCATTGCCTGCGAGCAAGTTCTACTGAATTCCATAGGACTTACAGTATATGATATAGACAGGATTTTGTAGTAAGTTTCCTTGTTTTCTAGAGTTGTTCTACCTCCCCATCCTCCAGATGATATCCAGTGTTGCTCCTATTTAGAGTAGATTCATAAAGGTAATGGAACTTAAGTCAGACCAACATAAGCAGCTTGGGATAGAACATTTTTGCAAAGTAAGACATGTGCTTTAGAGATGTAATACATTTATTTTAATTTAAAAAATAAATTATTTAAAACTTATTTTAATTGTTTATTTATTTAACTAGTTTTTTTTAATTTTTAGCCGAGAATGCACTGAGGTTTTATTGAGGTTTTATTGCACTGGCATTTTTATTGTATTGGGGTTTTATTGTATGGTTATTTATTGATGTTTTGTGAGCCGCCCCGAGGCTTTATTGTGATGGGGCAGCATAGAAATGTTTTAAATAAATAAATATTAAATAATATTTGTTATAGCAGTGATCCACTAATATATTATCAAAGTCTATGTTTAACTTTTAATGGCACAATCCTGTGGTTTCCCAGTGTTGTCTGGGAGGACATGGGATTTTTCGAGTTCTGG